TTAGCAAAATTTTCATTTTGTGGCAACTTATTATGTGGCATAGTCACGTTTGTTGCTGTGGAGGTTTCAAATTGACGTACGTTTCTAAGGAGGAAACAAATGTTTTCGCTCGGTGTACTTTGCAAGATTTGCAGATGTTCAATTAAGAAATAAAAGATGTTTATTGTGGAAATATGAAAACCAAGGAGACCTTTGGGAGTACTTGAAAGCAGATCAGGGCGAAAATATCTTTATATTTCTTTTCTAGAATAACAATAATGTAATAAAGATAAATTCAAAGCAAAGTTTTTTAATATATCCTCTAACATGAATAAGAAGTGTTTCGAGGAGAACACATTGAAACTAAGATGGAAACCATTTTGACGTAATTTATTATTATAGAATATAAGATTGCTAGTTGAATTTTCAGGCTTGCATTAGCAAGTTCTGGTAGAAACGACCGCATGTAGCGCTCCTGTCGTTGCGAATAATTTATGTGTGTAAACGTTTTATCGTGACTTGACATTCTTCACTAGCAGACTATTTAAGTGTTATAAGATATGCTAATTCTATATGTCAAGGAAATGCTAAATACAAATGAGAGGACATAATTTCGGAGAGTTTAGATCAAATGGGTGAACTACAAATGTAAAAACAGCTGTCCATTTACAGAAATCCACTGTTTTTAATTAAATATTTTTCTTCATAGAAACAGTTGCTAGTAGCATAACTAATTATTTGCCAACGAATAACATTCGTTCAATTTCATCAACATTCCTTCTATCTTAGCAACCTGCAGTGTTTGATTGCGACTTTACGTCTGCTAAGGAGCTTCACAAATTCTAAAAGCTATCGCATTGAAACAGATAGCATCATTTTTTTCAAGACATTTTACGGTATATTGACAAATTTCTGATTTGAGCAAGCTCTTCACTCCTCTCGACACAGGTACGTCTGATTTACACTAATTTTGCCTTATTTAAGCAGAGATGTTTGTTCAAATATCAAATTTTTTTAATTGTTTTGTTTCTGATGTCTGATAAAATGACTAACAAACGTTCAAAAATATACTGGCAATATTGCCAAAGTGATTTTTGTTGCTCTTATAATAGCTACTAAGTTCGTCTATTCTCACAGGATAAGATTCGTACCGTTTTTTAATGTCACTATTTCTAGACATGGGATTTCTTGAGAAAAACTGCTGTGATGTGAGTCATAACAGGTCCTGTTAGTGTTATATATTCTCTATTCACTTTTTTAATACAAAGGAAATCATTTGTATCAATCAATGGTGAGATAGCTAGACAGAGAGCCAGGCCCCCTGGCAAAATTCTTGGGTCCACTAAAATATATTGTTTTATTTACGAGTACGACTACGAGTCTACGGAGCCTACAGAGCCTACAAGTACGACTACGAGTACGAATTACGTCATTTTGGCGCGAAAACATTGTTGCGACAACAACAACACGTAGCCGTCATCAATCTGAGTACGATGTTTTGTAAAAAATTCGTAGTCGCGACTACGATGTCTTTTTAAGCAAAGAAAGTAAATATATTTCTTCATTCTGTAAGAAATTAGTTTGCAGTAGTATTTTCGAGCACCCAGGCTTTAATTTAGAATCCTTTTTGAGCGCAGATGTGCATTAAAAAGGAAAATATGACCTGCAAAACTTTCATGTATTTCCTACGCAAAGTGAAAAGTAAACAAACAATAAAATAGTACAAATCGTACATAAAACTTGAAATAGTGAAGATTTTTCAGTCTAAAGAGTCCTATATTCTCGCAAAACCAGTATTACCGATTTTTTGATATCATTATTAACAAATAGAGCCGTAGCTGTATCGCCAACGTCAGTGTTTTACACAATAAAAAGGCTCGTTCTGTTGTTTACAACTAAAACAAAATTTTGGCGAAGCGACAACGACAACAAACTTCGTCGTGCCATTCTCTTACACGGTCAAGCGTCGTACTCGTTGTCGTAGTCGTACTCTTGCTAAAGCTCCCTAATTACAACATTGATTGTGGCTCCTCTTCCCTTTTATCTCCTCCCATTTGACAGAAAATCCTGGCTACCGCAATGATATATCACTGCTGTTAAATATTATAGATGAAGGAATCACTAAGAAGAACTTCATCTTACTAAGTTCTGACTTTCCAGGCTGCTGTCGAGATTAGGATTAGCTTAGGATATTAGGATTAGCATCAAGTTGTAAGCACTTTCGTCCAAAATGCATAGTGGGAGACTTCTTTGAGCAATGGAAGTAGCAGCCAATTGACCACAAGCTCTAAAGTTTCCATTCTGAATATTGTACATAGAGCCAATTGGTGTTCCATTGGGAAACATTGTCGAATTCATTTGCGAGATTGTTACCACAACAAACACCATGGTACATGTGCTAATTCTTCAATCCGGGACGAAAATCCAAAAATCGACACCCCACTAAAATTGCAATGTCAACATAGTTCTAACTTTCAAAAACAAAAAGAAATAACTTTTCTGAAGTTCTTGACATGTTTAGAAGGTTCACTTTAGGGGTGGTCATGAGAGGAAATACTTTGCATAACATCAATATTTACTGAGAAAATTACTATGTACCATCTCTTGTCAAATGTAAAGTTTGCTTAAACTAACCAATTTTCTTGGCAGAGATTGCATTTTCATATTTTTAAAGAAAAACTCACATGAGATGGAAAAGAACATTTAACCACAGTATAGAGAACATACAGTTTAGCCACTCCATTGAATTTTTCGTGCCACGCATATCTTATTACGCATTTGATTACCACATTGGCAGCCAGTAAATTGCATTGTGTGACCAATAGGATTGACGATATGGCAAACAGCAGCCAGTAAACTAAGAGCCTGTTTACATGAACCCGGTAACAGGGATTCTGCGAGGCGTAAAATGATTTTAAGTCATTGACAAGAGTGAAAGCTTGAATCGCAAAATTTACAACCTTTCTTAAGCGTCATAAGTCATTTTAGTCGCAATTTTCAAATCAAGCTAAATTATTTCTCTTCATTTTAAAGGTTTTTTGAATTTCCAAAGTCATATTACAGAGAACTTGCTCAAATAAGATTTTTGTTGTAAAGTATTTAATCTTTTCCATTTGCCAAATCCCGGCTACGGGCTCATGTGAACAGCCCATAATTAAATATACAGCAGCTAGTTGCACATTAAAGGGTCCTACATGATATTCCTATACTGTGATTTAACTCACTATGAGCATTCACTTTTTGAAATCGTAAATGCGCTCTGGGGGTGTTTTCCCTTACTGGTACCACTAATCTTTTAAATTTGCCTACTGAGACTCAACTACAATGTGTTTCTCATCGTTACTAGACATTTGAGATAAGCATTATCTTATTTTCATTACATTCTTTACTTTTGTGTCTGCAGTGTTTTTTATCATAAGTAAATATGATTCCGTGTAGTTGGAGCTTAACAATTATTCATAATTAATAACAAAGGTTTTTTATAATATGAAATGACTTATGCAATAATCTATTTGTATGGAATTTTGATTAATGAAAGGAAAAAACACTCGCATTTTCGAAAATCGTGTCCTAAGCATTGACATTCAAATCCTGTCTTAGATAGTTGATCCTCAACTCTTGAGTTAAAACTTGTGAAACTTTATTACGTTTAGCACGAGTCCTTTAGAATTTGACTAGTGTCAATGTTATCATTCACTCTGTATGCGGTACTTATTTATGTATTTTATTTACATGACAATTGTTTTAAGTCAATGATATATACTTAGTTATATAACTGAGATGTTCTACATAGACACACTATAGAAGAACATACAGTAGAGCGACTTTATTAAATTTTTCGTGCCACACATATCTTATTACGCATGTGATTACCATAGTGGCAGCCAATTGCTTTTTCTTACGAATAGGAATGATAAAATGCCTAACGGTAGTCAGTAATCTAATTAAATATACAGCAGCCAGTTGCACACAAAGTGGACCTACTGTATATTCCCTATACCACAACATGCGCAATGGAAAAAACATCAAAGTCTCCGACACAAGTGACTCTTCTGTATATTCTTATTCTGTGTCTATACTGTAACATAGATGTCATTAATGTTTCATAATACTGTTTGTTGAAGTAGATCCTGACTCTTTTTTTATCTTCGCTCGTTTACTTAATGTGTTTATGTAAAAAAACTCACTAAAAATATTAATGTTACGATAAGGCATGAACTATGATCGCTATTTTTTAACTAATATGTATGTGGTCGCGTTGTTTATATTAAATCTCTTCATCCGTTTGTTGAGTATATGACATGTAAAGTACTAAAGCAAGCATAAATTTGTTCACACGGTTGTCTTACTTCTAAAACGAAGGTAAATTTAGAAAAATTAAACGATATTTTAGAACTACATTACCGACATAACAAATTAGCTAAAGCAACATCTCGATAAAGTATGACTAAACATGCATGAGAAATCATATCTAAATTGATATACCAAGTTTCTAACTATTGACAATAAGATGCATGGTTAAGGTTTACTTTCATTGAATCCTTTACTGTTGTATCTACAGTGTTTTTATTGATCATAAGTAGTTATAATTGCGTGCAGTTGATGTTTGCCACGTATTCCTAATTTACAATGGTTTATTCAATAATAAAGGTTTTTTATAATATGAACTGACTTATGCAAGAATATACATGTATGGAATTTTTGATCAATGAAGGGAAAAAATCCATTCACAGTTTCGAAAATCGTGTCTTAATCATTGGCATTCAAATCCTCTCTTAGATAGGTGATTCTCTATTCCTGAGTTAAAACTTGTGAAACTTTATAAGATTTAGCAGTAGTCTTTTGGAATTTGACGAATCTCAATCTTATTATGTACTCTGCATGAGGTTCTTATTCATGTATTTTTATTTCTGTAACAATTGTTTTTAGTCAGTGATGTATACTTAGTTATATAACTAGAATGTTTTACATAGATGTCATTAATGTTTTATTATACTGTTTGTTGAAGGAGATCCTGACTCACTCTTCATCTTCGCTCGCTATTTACAAGTGTTTATGTAATAAAACTTACATGGATAAAAGATTGATGTAACAATAAGGTATGAATTATGATCACCATTTTTCAACTGATATGTATGTGGTCGTGTACTAATTCAAATTATTTCAGTAGTTTTCAGTATAATGTGCTACATATATGTAGCAAGACACCTAATTTACAAAGATAAGCATTTACACACATTTATCCTTTACCCATACACATTCATCCTTCACCATTACAAAATACACAAGTAATTCAAAATCAAACATTTTATATTAAGAATTATACATTAAAATGATCTAACTTCTAACCAAGCTATAGGAACATTGTATTAAATGGGTAAACAGACAAATTTACAAAAGGAATGATACCTGAATTATGTGGGATATTCACGACGAATAATATACCAACACTGCCAATAAGTTTATTGACATGGATTGAAACAATAACTATAACATATTTTTGTTAGCTGTTTACACACGTCTGATAAGAAGTAGGGGCATTGTTATGTGACTTTACTTTTACCAATAAATATACTAGCTTCATGTTTAGATATTTGACTCATTCATATTATTTTTTTATGCATACAACCTTTGTGCTTACTTTGTACATGCCATGATGACATTTAGAATTACAACAAGGGAACGAATTAATAACAATATAGCTTTCATAGTTGCTTGATCACAAAGATCAACTTTGCAAAAAGCAACTACCTTGCTTCATTATTTTATAAACTTCGTGTTTTAATACAATAGAAAGCAGTGAAAGGTTTTACTGAGCTACATGATGGTCGCCAAATAAAATACGCGCCTTTTGTTTATGATTTGTGTATTTTCGTCCCGTTTTTCGCATCAAAAATTGCATCGTGACATGAAGTAATGTGTGTTCTTAAACAAAAGCCGCTGAGGGCATGCGCGGGCATGATGATGAGTGCGAATCATTGAGTTCTATAATAACTGTAGCGACTATCTCAAGCGCGGCCTTAGATATCTGATGTAGCCAAAAAATGGCGGAATTCTCCGTTGCCGCTGAGATTTACCGAAATTGACCGCTTTTCGGAAAATTTCACAATTTCCCACTCCTTCCTTAGGAAAGAGTGAGGAAAATGTATGTGTGCATTTGGGATTCGGCAAGCAATTTTTTGATGAAAATCAAGGTAAAAGCCTTAAATTCATAACAGCGAGTCAACTGTGGTTGTCAGTTATCTGCTCCTACGAGGATGCATTTATAACTTTCGACGAAATAGCTATATGTCGGCTACACATGAATAAATGCAGATGGGCGTCGTTCTTTTACCAGCGTCAAACTTGTTTGATCGATTAAACTCTTTAGTCTATACAAAAAAGTATATCATAGTTCATCTCCACAGTGGTTCACGAGAGAGAAGTTAGCTTATTTGTTATCATTGCTATTTTGCTTCTTTTCGTGGAAAGGCAATGGCTTTTTTCGCCACAATTGTAGGATTTTTACTTGTTTTTTAAAAAAGTAAATATTAAATCTCTGGATATTTACGGATTTTCTGTAATTGAGTTTCATATTAAATTTCAAAAGGACTAAAGTCTGCATAGGTTTGGTAAATGAAAACAAACAATATTGTATAGAAATTACTTTAAGTAACCTTTTTGTGATGTTCTGAAGTGCAACTGCATCAAATACTTTTAAAGTTGTAGCACATTTTGATTTTGTTGTATTGATATATGAATTGAGCAAAATGCAAATAATCATCAAAACACTTATGCTTCCAATGGTGTTTATAATTCATTTTTAGTTTTAATACTTCTACCCTTCTTTTTCACTTTGTTTTGTTTTTCCTATATTTGCAATATAAGTGCACAATTTAAATGATTAACACAGTTTTCACGTCAATAATAAATTTCATTAGCAGTTAATAGTGCATTTTGTTGTCTGAGTATCCACATCTGGTGTTTTCTTCATACAAGAATGATGAAGAGCAAGTAGATATGTCATAGCAAGGCAATATAACCAAATGAATTAAATACCTATAGTGTACTTTTATTCTAGAAGCTTAAAAGCTTTTTAGAAATTATAAAGTTATTGGATTATATTACCTGCATATCATCAATCTCATGAAAAGAAATAAGAAGCAAAAAGTTTGTAGAAAAGCTTTGAAAAGTGAAAAAACTTTTCTTTAAAAAAGCAGCAATAATGCATATGATAAATCTCCATTCTGTACTCTAATAGGTAAATAAGCTCAAATTTTTCGTAAAGAAATATAAGAAATATATAAGAAATATACAGTACAGTGACTTTAAAGGTTTCATCACTGAATCTTTAATCCTTCAGTATAGTGCATTAGATATTAGTAACATATAAACAACACTCAACTAAATATTTTGATAAAAATATGACATGATTTAAACTTTAAGTTACATAAAACCCAATGGCTTATACAGTTTGAAGCGTCATATCTGCATCGAGTCATCATCAATCTCAGTACAAATGTTTACATAGACACAAACTTTATGGCCTTCCTATTTTATATGTTTGTGAATTGACATTTCATTAAGCATCAAAACACACACAACCTTCTTGCCATCTTTCTTTGGTTCATGAACTTTAACTTCAAAGCATTCAAGGCATCCTTAGTGAATCCACTGTCTCCATCCATAGAATTTGACCATGATCAAATTAAATAACTCTGGATAGGGCAGACAATAAATCAATTATCTTTACAGCATTATCATTTTTTAAGACTCTGCCTGGTCAATAACATCTTCTAGTCATCTTTACTCCTTGGTCTTCCCTGCATGTTGTCAGCAAATCGAACATAACAAGCTCTGCTCCGAATCATGGGTACTGTTTAGACTGATCATTTCTTTTTGATACTTATTCACAGAGCAAAATGTGTGCAGGGTCTTTTTTGCTTTAGGGAACTATTTTGCAAATAAATGGGTAAATTTACGATTTCATGCATTAACAAATGACAGAAAAGTATGCAGAATTTAATAAACAAAAACAGGAAAACATCAGTATATTTGGAGTTCAAGTCAGTCTTAAAAAAACGATCTTTACTATGTATTTTATGGCTTTTCAAGTGCATGTATAATTGCTTTTCAATCGTTGACGGACTAAAAAAACAAGCAACTATCTCACCTGTGAGAAGCGATATGTTCCTTTTTGTGGAAACTATGACATCCAACAATTGAACGATTGAAGTGTTGGCATTATAAGAAATGCCAAAAAAGATATCGTCACAGAATATGGAACTAACGCTATCCGCATTCTGTGATATCATGTTTGTTTTTGAAAAATTCTTTATAATATACTATAGACACCAGGGGGAGGTCGAGAATATTATTTTTCTGCAAAGCGATCATTTCAGCGGAAATACGTCCGTTGGCCATCATTTTTTTGGCGACCTCGCCCCAGTAAGGTTAGCCGCTTCAGTTATTATAGAACTCAATGGTGTGAATTTGAATTTGTTTCAATGAATTTGAATCTGGTGTGATAATATTCAAATTGGTGCAATGAATTTCAATTTGGTGCGATGATATTCAATTTGGTGTGATAAATTTAACTTTAGCGTAATGATTTAAAGTTGACGTTTCCCTTGTTGGCCACCGTAAGTTCTAGAACTGGCCAGCTATTTAATAGCTTGCACTAAGCGTATATAAAATGAATGATGATCTCTCCTATACGTTTTGACAATTTGATAACTGCTTTTATTATATTACGAGCAAATAAAATAACAGGAAATAAGCTAGTAAATTACTTTTCACTTTTTTTACGTGCCAATAATATACAACTAAAAATTGATTATATCAATAGATAAAAGATTGAAGCATGGCATAAGTTTTTACTCTTTTCAAGTGACTGTCCACTAAAATAGTAAAACCTCAAATTTTAAAGTAAATTAATTCACAGTGCGGCTGTTGTCTCACCAAAATCTGCATTAGCGTTAGCCGAAGCGTTATTTTCTTTTGGATCATCAGCACTGCCTGCCTAAGTAAAAAAGTCATTGGTTTCGGAATTCCATGATTGCAAAAAAGTCGCAATTCAATAGTTGTGCATAAGAGTACTCACTTTATCCCTCATCAGAGTATCCACCAATAGATGACTCGTCTTCTAAGGACTCATCACCTGAATCTTCACAATAAAACGATTTGTTGTCAGTGGATTTACAATGAGACGATTTGGGATTTGAGTATTCTGTATGAGCAAAAAGAGTTGCTGGTCATTGAGATGCTCACCTTCATCTTCTTGTAAGAAACCATTTCCCACTTGAGGGCTATTACTCGTAATTATATTCTAAATAAAGAATGTTTATTATGATGTTAAAAATAAAGGATTTCTCAATTGTTGAGTTGCAATATTTTTGTAACTGTTACTATTTTAACTGTCTTCATTTCTAACAATGATATATTGATAAAAGTATTTATGTCAAAGTTTAGACGAGAATCCCATAAGTTGTTCATGGAAAATACTGGTATTCTTTCAATGGCTCCCTAAGAAGTTAAGGCGTCTTTAAAATGAAAATCTAGCACCTTCTGATAAAATAATTATAATCTTTAACAATTTTTCAGAAGTTATTTAAATATAACAATGAATAGTTACTTTGCCATCTTCAATGGTCTGACCTAAAATTTTTGAGCCTGACATGCACTGAATGTGATAGGTAATATTTTGCAAATTAATTTTAGAAACCAAAATGTAATCAGTGTTTTATATTCTTGCTGCATATACTACTTTCCTAACTTTCATGCCATGATTAAAAAGATATTTTTAAGCCAATTTGTCACACACTCACTGTAATTTAACACGTCTAATATTGCATATGTTGTGTAATGAACGATCTTTATTTTAATGAAATCATTTTAGAATTATATAAAATTTTTTTTTTGGAGGGTTATACAAAGACGATTGAAAAGTCGGGAGAAACGGAAAATTGCGTGGCAAGCACACACACAACGAGCAAGTGTTTCCAAGTAATTTTGAGTTTCTCCCAAACTTTCACAAGTGTTTTTATAACTTTATAGAAACAAGTAAAATGTTTTCTATTCCCTTTATAAAGTAGTTTTTAAAAACAATGTTGAAAAGGTAAATTTTTTGATTTTAATGTTGTTAATATATGTATTGTTTATATATTTTCCTTTTGAATTTGCTGCCCAAACCAAATAACCAGTGATTTTATTGCTGCTTCAATATTTTCACACAAATTTGAATATTGCCAGCAAATGATGCACTTTAAAAACATAAAATATAATTTCCTTGAAATGTTACGCGTAAAACAATTATCGTAAAACTATATTATATTCTAACGATTTGACCAATCTTGCATAAACGCTGAAATTCGTTTATCAACTGTAGAAATTCAGTAAGAACACATCAAACATGAAAAAGTTATGAACTTGACTTACCATAATACGTAAATTCCAGCATAGAATTGATGATGTAAACGCTACCATCATCAAGCAATTACGAATGTAAGGTAATAAATCTAGAACAAAGAACTTGATGAAGAATTCCAATATATTCAACACATTCATTTTGATATCTACAAAAAATAATAATTTGTAAAGATTTATATTATATATTTTTACCACTAAGCTCTTTACTTCTCATTTCAGGCATTTTTTGCTAAAATTCAAAGCATTTGTCATCTATTACTCTGGCTGGACTTCTTTGATGTGAACGATGTGTATAGCACAAAAAGTACAAAAGTATATGGTATGTGTTTCATTTTAAGCTTGGTTTCCTGTCTTCAAAACCTAGTGTGCTTTTAGCTAAAGTTGCACATTGTCATTGTTTTTGTTTATGCCACCTATTTCTCCACCTGAAAATTGTTCAGATGGTGTGTTGCCATTCGTTTGCAATTTATTTTTAAAATTAAGACTGGAAAGCCAATACTGTGTCTGCATTTAGTATTTTTCTCATGCGACCATCATCTGATAAAAATGCATAAATGTGCATGCACAGACCTCAAAATCGACAAAAATTCTTAAAACACTAAAGGTTAGCAATAATTTAGTAGACACAATTAGTGGCGTCACCAGGGAGGTAACTGTGAGAAGACTAGTCCTTCCAAAGACCACTTTTTATATGTTAGAAATCATGGAAAAAATGAAGGGGAAGAAGGGGAAAGTGCAATGAATCAAACTTCAAATTGCAATAAAAATAGTTGCTTCCTTTAAACGATCACATAACAAAGCCAGTATAATAAACAGCAATCTTCAAGCATAGTTGTCTATAAGATTGCATTGAATACACTTAACACATATCTAACAGAAAGCTGCTCTTTTAAAACACATGGCTTTAGATCATTAGATACCTGCCCAAAAAAATTAGCGTCTTAGAGAATATACAATCAAATATTTTTTATGGGACCTTTGACCATTTCATTGCCTTATCTAGTCTAAACAACCTGATGACACCACTGAAAACAATGACGAAAAGAAAGTTCCCCTTAAGATATATTACTAGCTATTTATTCTGCGTATTTAAACGAGTCCCAGATAATGAAGTGATTTGCAAAGTGTCTTGCATGTGAAGAATGGAATCACTTGTGCTTTGAAAAAGATGTCATCTCTTGAATACAAAAATAGCCAATATAGAAATTCGCTTTGAATAGTGATATAATAACTTTCACTAGTCATTCAAAAATATTATTGGTTAGTAACCATTATCTTAAAACCAGAGTATCTTATCATAAAAGAGCAATCGCAATTGAGCTTCTGGAGACTGGTTGTCATTCGTTTAAGATTTACAATAGTCTACCGAAAGGGAAGCTATCTTTTTGTGTTTATAGTGTCTATACATAATGGAAGAACTAGCTTATATTAGTTATAGTTTATATATTGTAACACTGGAATTAAAATTTTGGTACCTGAAAACGACCCTTTTTCTTCTCTTTTGCGACCAAAGGTATGACACATTGAACGAGTTTTGAGGTCTGTTATTTTAATGGCTGAATCTACAACGCCCTAGCGTATCAGGGCGCATGCGCGCTTATGAATTTGCTGCTCGATAAACGCAAGCACGCATGCGCCATGTTACATTTGCTAATTTTATTGTCCGTAAAGTGCCTTTATAATTTTTAAATAGTTTTTAAAAACAATGTTGAAAAGGCAAATTTTTCGATTTGAATAACATGTATTGTTTATATATTTTCCTTTTGAATTTGCTGCCCAAACCAAATAACCAGTGATTTTATTGCTGCTTCAATATTTTCTCACAAATTTGAACATTGCCGGAAAATGCTGCCCTTTTAAAACATGAAGTATAATTTCCTAGAAATATTACGCGTGAAATAATAATCGTAAAACCATAATAAATTCTAACGATTTGACCAATCTTGCATAAACGCTGAAATTCGTTTATCAACTGTAGAAATTCAGTAAGAAAACATCAAACATTTAAAAGTTATGAACTTAACTTACCAAAATACGTAAATTCCAGCATAGAATTGATGATGTAAACGCTACCGTCATCAAGCAATTACGAATGTAATGGAATAAATGTAGAACAAAGAACTTCATGAAGTATTCCAAGACATTCATTTTGATGTCGATAAAAAATAATAATTTGTAAAGATTTATATTATACATTTTTACCACTAAGCTCTTTACTTCTCATTTCAGGCATTTTTTGCAAAAATTCAAAGCATTTGTACTTACTGTCATCTATTACTCTGGCTGGACTTCTTTGATGTGCACGGTGTGTATAGCACAAAAAGTACGAAAGAATATGGTATGTGTTTCATTTTAAGCTTGGTTTCCTGTCTTCAAAACCTAGTGTGCTTTTAGCTAAAGGTGCACATTACCATTGTTTTTGTTTATGCCACCTATTTCTCCATCTGAAAATTGTTCAGATGGTGTGTTGCCTTTCGTTTGCAATTTATTTTTAAAAAGAAGACTGGAAAGCCAATACTGTGTCTGCATTTAGTATTTTTTCTCATGCAACCATCATCTGATAAAAATGCATAAATGTGCATGCACAGACCTCAAAATCAACAAAAATACTGAAAACACCAAAGGTTAGCAATAATTTAGTAGACACAATTAGCATACGAACAACAAGGATGGAAAGCAAACAACACAAGAAACAAAAAATCTTCATATGAAGCTAGATTGTTTCTACAATGGGGAGGTTAGTTAATCCTGTACAAGCAAATCAATTTTAACTCCGGAAAATGCGAAATGTCGTCAAACGATATAATTGGAGCATTTTACTAGTGATTGTTTTAGGAGCTAGTTTCATTTAAATGGTTATGCGTCGGCTTACGTCAGGCACCGCAATACATTATTGCTACTTATTAATTTATAAGTCAAAGATTACAATTATTGATTATTGTTCTGTAGATGATGTGGTGGAAGAGTTTATGAAAGATACTGAAGATATGCAAGTAAATATAACAGTTACATAAAGGATGCAGCATCAGCACTGGAATCAGACAGTTTCACTGTTTTCACTGTTTCACTGAAATACTTGGCTTTGGTAATTTATCCAAACTTGCATTGACTTCAGCACAAGCCATGCAAAAAATGCAACATACACCACAGTTTAAGCAGATAGAAAGTTATGATGTACATCCTGAATGTCCAAGCAAAGAATACAACAAAAATGCTGATAAAGACATTGTAAGCATTGAAGAGTAGGTCTCATTATATATTTTCACTAGATAAGACGTACATTTTAGTATTTTCACCCAAATTTGCATTCTCTTGACAACAGACCAAGACACAAGTGCGAAATATAAAGCAAAGAAATTTATCGTTCTATAGCAACTCCGTCAGCAACATCATTTATGTTTTGCGCCAGTTCTTAAGGTGAAAACAAGCCATTCAGTAACCATGATAACAAATGATTTTGCTACAACTGTGATGAACATCACATTCGGAAAAGATAACCTTATCCTAGTTATATCCATTAATCTTCTTTTGAGCTTTGCCATCATTTTTCTGCGCACATTAGCGGTTTTTCAGGTTTATCAACGCATGAGTCTCTAGGATACAGCAAATCAACTTGTAATCATAAACATCATTTTCTTTTCCCTGTATTGCAAGTCCTGTCAACAAAAAATACTAGACAGTAGAAACAATAAAAGTATTGTAGGAGTTGGTGATAGTAGAGATGACAGTATGGGTCATTAAAAAAATATTGCATGTGCACAGTATACAATTAGCTCCATTATTTCATTTGTTGTGATTCACATGAGAACTAGATGATAAAAATCAAAGATTAACCTTTTAATTGTATGTTTATGCAACCTTTACATATTAAGCAGAACTGTACAGAAATGGGAGACCTTGGCCACTATGAAGCAATTGTTTGTTTTTTTATCACTGGTATGATAACAACATTTATTTCTAATAGCCATGCAACTATCACTAAGTATACAAGAGAAACATTTATTTGAATATATGTAATGATAATGGCATATGAAAAAACAGCCATTCCGACTTTCTTTGATTGATGACATAATTGGGAAATGTAAAGTTTATATAATTACCTTGCACAGGAAGGAATGACATGCTGTCACTAAATGGAGGAAAGGTATTGGATGTTATTTTTATTGGACTGCTACGTCAAAATTATCTGATACTAATACAATATTGGTGAAAATTTCAAGGCATGGATTTGGCTCACTAGGGGTAATATGCAGTTTACATTTATACAACTTTATTAGGTAACTGCAATGAAGTATTTTTCTCTTTAGGTTAGGTTTTATTGCATATAAAAAGCTAAAAGAAGCACAAGAGGCCACGAACAATTGGTTAAACAATTATCTTCTACAGCACAAATAAGGTGTTCAGAAAGATATCTTTCAGTTTTTAATATTTTGCTCCAAAGATGATTCATTATTCTTATCAGCTGGAATGCTTTGCAGGTGTAGCTTAACAAAATATCAATAACATATCTATTGAAATATTTAATAATGCTTTGCGTGTGACATCCAATACATCCTGACAGCCTAACATTTCAGTGGTAGAAGGAAAATGTAAAACCGAGGATGTTAAGAGCCCACAGTAAATTACCAAATGCGAAATTGCTAGCAAAAATCTGAAATAATGGAGCTAGCATATATTGTATAAACAATGAGGCCTCCTGTCATCACATAAATAATACATTATAACATTGCTTACTTTGCTCTGGGCTTTTAGTATCAAGAACTCATTTGTTCGAACTTCGAAGAAACTTTGTGAAAGCCATAATAGTCTATAATATAAACGGTATTGATCAATCTTCTTACTGGTCACACTCCCACTTGAACGAAGTATTCAGTTGAGTTTCATATTGATGCAAGTAATCCGTATCGGATTCGCAAATCGCTATCAAACAATGAATCCAAATAGATCGAGAAAAAACATTTACATATATTCAAATTCATTTCTTCCCAGAATGATTTCGTCATTTCCCCTCAAACAATTCGCGCTCTTTCCTGACATGCTTTCATAGTTATATGGCGGCAACAAAAGGTCGACAGTGGAAATGTCAGTGTATTTTGTGTCGTGTAATTGAACTGTTACCGTAGTGAATCATAATGTTTGATTTAAATTGTGTACATGGAAACAGACCGGGGCAGTGCATAATCGAAATTTGAGCGAACTGGAAGAATCTGTTTGTATGTCCAATGCTACCAGAGGCAAAGCGTGCCGCGTGGATGACATACACTGGACTAATCTTCCCCTAATCGTTGTTCATGGAAACTGCTAATATAATGGAAAAAATAACAGCGAAGGTAAAATATTTGCGATTAAAGCATTGAATGATTGTGGACAGTTAAAAGAGTTGATGGTTACAAAATTGTCGTGAAATTCTTTATCTCTGTAGTGAAATTTGAGCTCCTTATCATGTGACAACTGTAATAGAAGGTATGCAGAAATCTTTCAAAATCAGTAGGTGGTACAATGAAATAAATCACAAATCAGCTCAAGAGGTGGACAAGTCTGTTTGGCAGATATGTGACATGGATGGATTTACATGGTGGTGCAGTGTGCTAATTAACGGTGTGCAATGTGATTTTTTACATAAATAGGAGACCCTTGATATAGGGCTAACCTCTGGGTTTCCTTTTTCTTAGTAATTACGTATTTACATGTTGTTCTGAAATAAAGTATTGTGAATTGTGAATGTGCAATTTGCACATCGTTTTAGCTAAAATGAAAACAATAGCACATCACTTTTTCAATTGATGTGCAAAAATCAACGCTTTTAACGAAAAACATTGTCGTAAATCATATGAATTTGTTCATGTTTAAAAATATTAAATTAGCAATTAGCGCTATATAATAATTAACGTAATATCGATTTGATTATGGATATAAAGAAACACTTCTGTCAAAAAAATTGCACATCGTTTTTTCTGAACTAATTCCCACACTGGTGGTGCATGGGGTACCACACCCCTAACACTAGATTTCACCCCCTAACTAAAATGTTCGTTCCTCTAACGAACATTTTAATTACCACTCCCCAATTTTTAGTGAAACATATCAGCAGTATGGTTGAGTTTTTCAGGGCAAAATTACTACTTTCTACACAACCTTTGATGGCTACACTACTAGACCACCATAAATTATAGACCCTTACAATGTCTTACATCACTTCCTTACCAGCACCCCCCCAAAAAAATGTTAGCAGCACCTCTGTAAAGAATATGAAAATTTGTCCTTAGAGATGTCAAACTTAAATGTATTTTCTTAATATCTAGCATGGTCTATGTAAGTCTGAAATTAATAGGGGAAAGTAAGCATGGATGAACTCATTATTTTGGTGGGCTCCCTAACAGCCACCCCCCCCTCGTCTGGTTCAGCCGCTCCTTAAACTACATGTTTCACTTGTAAATAAATCTACTTTATTCATATTTTTAGGTGTTTTCAAACATTTTCAGGTTGAGGTTAGTCAACATTAATGATCATCTCTTACCTCAAGTTATTATGCTGCAACTAGGATTTGTAGTTAATGAAGAAATGTTCTAAACAAGATAAAAAGATATTATTGTGGTGCAGAATCTTGAAGCTGTCTATTCTTTGTGCATTAAAGCAATTATTGTTTGTAATTTTATGCAAATTCAGATGCAAACATAACTATTAGCTTGTGATCATTTGTTCAAATTATATCTTATTTCAGGACTTAAGTCGAAGTTGAGTGGTCTAAAACCAACTAAAACTCACTGACAATTCTAATCATGGCTTTACTTGGTGAGTGCTCATTGCATATCTCTCAAAAATTATGAAGTGCAAAATTAAGTTACTCAAAATGCTTAAATTCATCCTTTGTGCACTTGACCACCATTTTTGCTCAATATAACCTTGATTTAAAAATTTTTCTTTTGGTGTGGTTTCTCTTTTAAAATTTGTAGTAGCCACAATCTGCAAGTAAGCATATGGGAACGTGATGTTTGCCTTAAAATGTTACCTTAGAGAGCATTTCATTGCATATCAGCATTTCAATCAAGCTTGAGTTGCCAAGAATATATGCCAGGCTTCTAAACAATTTGATATTATTTATGAAACAATATTTTTCGTCGACACCACCTTGAACATGAGAATGTAGAAATCTTTTCTACTAATTTCATCAACTGTAGCACCAACTTTCAAATAAAGAAGCCCTAGTACCTCTGGTCTGTGGCAAACCATGATGTTAAAAAATGACTATACCTTTTCCTTTGTTATAGGATCTGTATTGTATGATTTATTAGCAGAAAATACACATCAAAAAATTTCGCTCTTTTCGCATGCAACCAACTGATAAAGAATATTCTAATACGTACCATTGTGTACATTTCGCGATCTAAAGTACGGAGATCGCTGGCGTGCGGTTGTACTATTAACGTAGTGACATATAAATGTACCTTCGTTAGAATGTTAGTGTAATAAATCATCAAAATGCGTTTTCCTAGACGAAAATGCGATTGTAACAATGTTTTGAAAATAACAAATCAGCTTATTTACCAACATTCTGTTTATAATCATCTATCGTTAATTGCAAATTTATTGATGTGAAGTAAAACATACTTTAAAAAGTGCGCATTTTGTGTAATTCTATAGAATTCCAATCTTATCTTCCGAAGAATCCGAACTTTTTGATCTTCTTTCCTAGACTCCGATAATTCTCTTTGTTGAAACGCGTAGGTGGTTAAAAGTACTGTTTGAACGCGAAATTTCCCGCCCCTCTTTGATTGGGTGATTTCGTTGATACAATCGTAGATTTAAATATGTTATTGGTCGATATCAGCTTAAGCCAAAACATTTGCAACATATCACCTCCCCCCTCCCCTCCCCCCTTACAAAGCAAAAGTCTTGGTGCTCATGCCAGCGGAAGTAGTCAAATACGTGTTAAACTTTTTTCTTACTCTTGTGTATTTGTCATCGTTTATTTGGTTGTTTGGTTGTATGAGCTATGAAAAATTATATGTGTGTATGAATTTATGAAATGAAAGAGAAAAGAAATAGTCAGAATGTACGCGCGAGCGATGCAATTTTCAAACGTCGCATGCTTCATGATTCCGTAAACACATCGTCATCAATGTCTGTAAAACGTACATTGGTAAGTAAAGTTTTGTAATGATTTATAATATAGATTTTGAACAAAATTATCTGGCGAGTGCATTTTATTTTATATTTGGTCATAAGTGAAACAGTAATTTTGAACATTTTATGTATTATGCTTTACAATGTTGTTTTTGTTATTGGCGTTTAGTTGAGAAGGACCTAAAAGGCAAAACATTTGTTTTTTTTTATTCATTTTATTTTAAGTTTTAATTTATCAATGCTGCATTCGTTTATGTGTTAAATGAGACAACACATCTTTGAATATAATGGTAGCAAAATATTTAAACAAAAGCAACAACCTCAGTTTGGATTTAATCAAATTAATGCCCAATACAATTATATTTTCAAAAATTTAAAATACTTTGAGACTTATTATAAAGTTACCAGTCACACAACATCTCTTACTAATCTTGCATTCTGAAATATCTGTTGAAACATGGCATTTTTTCCTTCTTCACAAAACACTGTATGTGTTGGTTTTATAAACTGTTATGTGTATGTATGTATGATCTCCAAAGCACCAGATTAATTATGGATTTAAAATAAACAACAAAATTTTTTATTATAAACATGTTTCGACTTTCCAGTCTACTAAAGTTGACTTAATGTAAGTTGATGTTTATAATAAAAAAGTTGTTGTTTATTTTAAATGCCTTATTGTTATATGTGTTGAGTTTTTAATTCACCCGACCATTTAATACAGTTTTGAACAATGAAAAATCAAATTTGAATCTTAGAAAAGGTGACCATGTCTACTTAATATAGGTGGATTGTTCAATAAAGGTCACTTAAATAGTATTTATATTTTGAACTTTTGGGACATTACCACACGATTGCAAAAAATAAGCACTGTATGAAAAAAAGCATGCTCCAAACAGATGTTTTCAAACAAAGTCACTTTCTTACATAATTCATTCATATTTAAATTGATATGCATCAAGATTGTTCAGTTGTAGGGAAAAGTGTTTCAGTTCCTAAGTCCCTGACATAAAACAACTATATTACAATAAACCAAGCACCCACAAAGTAATAAAAAAATTTCATTTTAGATAATTCACTTAAGAAAGACGGCCACAAAATATTCCAGTGCCACATCTTCCTCTATGGTATGTCAAAACTACACATTATTATTCCCAATTGCTAATTATTGCTCTAACTAGTAAATCAAATGAATACAATATTTGTCACATTATCACTGTCTTGAGAAATTACATTTTTATTGTCTTTCACATGTATAAATATTGTGCTTTAGCAGGTTACAGGGTGGGGCTCACAAACTTTAGATTTAACTCCCAAAAATAAATTGCACACTCCTGTCGGAAACATTTTAACTCCCTCAATTTTTAGCGAAACAAATCAGTTGAACTGAGTTTTTCTGGGCAATTTTTCAACTTTCTTTAATATCTTTGGTGGCTGCACTACCTGACCTCCCCTAAAATCTTCACTTTTATTGTCGTCATTTTTCTTTACCAATTGACTATTAAATTAGCCTTTTAATATCCAGTATCTTCTTGCGTGTAGCATTTACTGTGAAATAAAATATTTCTCTACCAAAGTCTTATGCTGTATATTGTGGAATAATTCTTGTGAAACCAAAAATTCTTTCATCAAATTGACTAATTCTCGTCAATTATTGAAAGAAATTAGGTTAATTAGTGTGAGTTTATACACATCATATTTAATCATATAGTATTTCTAGTCACGCAGAGATCATATGACATTCTTCCTGAGATCAATACTTTCATTTTCTAGTCATCGTTTTCATTGGAGAAGACGCCTTACGAAAATTTCGATAAAATTGTGCAAAACATTTTCATCAAAAGGTAAATATCATGTATTGAGTATTTGTTGTTCGAATTTCAGTGACATAAGTAAAGTACATGGGAACGAACTCCTGAATTCAAATTCCAGTTTGTCACAAATTGTTAAGATTATTTCCGTGAACATTCGCTATCTATATGTTGCTAAAAGTTTCATAAATTGTATGAATTATTGTAAGCAATGCAAAATTGCATGCGATCCCAAAGACTAGTCAATATAAATCACCGTTAGTTACTGCTTGTGATTAAGAATTTAACTAAAAGCAGCTTCCACAAGATTGAAATATCTTCGAGTGTTCGACAGAAGATAAAAATCATTTAATAAACATTCGCTCCTAGAAATGTTTGGACATAACACTTCCCAAATTTGAATTTATTGTTACATGTTTCGTTGTACTAATCACTGCAATGTTTGATGAATTTTTGATATTCGTTTTTTAAGTAACAATAGTTGATATATGTGATTCTACAGTTGTTTTGATGTGAAATGAGCAAACGCGCGCTATGCATGATGGTTGTTGGCAAATTCTATTTCAAAAATCGAAAGAGTTTGTGAAAATATATCTGTTGAGATTCAATTTTATTCTTAAGGTGTCGACAGCAGTGGACTGCATTTTATTTTATCGCTTAGAATCATCAGTCAACATATTTATTTAAGAAATGACAAAAGGCTACTCTCCTTAACGGCTTTCCTTTTATTATGCACCACGTATGCGTTCGCAAAGAATTATGGGATTTTGTTACGACATAATGACGCATTTGCACATGTGACATTGTATAGTTCGCAATCTCTTATTTCGTCATGATCATTCTCGTTGAACAGAAATTATGCTCGTTATTGACTTTAATGCATGGCTATAAGCACGGTACGTATTACGTAGTTGCAACTCTAGATGATTTGTCGTCGATGTTTATTGAAATGAAATAATATTTTGAAGTCAAAATTGACCAATTCATCTAGTTTGACGTTTTTTTCTTTATACAGTGAATCATGAGCGCCGACGACGACGTTGATAACGTTGATCAACAAGAATTAAACAGTGTTTTATGTACTGAAGAAGGTAACATGTTTGAAATAATAAAGAATTTTAATTGAATTATCAACCTAAAGATAAGAGTCGAACATATCGTTTCAAAGATAACCATAAGCGTTTATTTTTTTCATATTTATTAAAATAAAGCAAGTGACGTTTGTCGTTTCGTCTTGACTCACGACATCTTGAAATGAGATGTAATTACTTAGATAGTTAAGGTGTGAGGTTTGTGTGGATGTGTACTTACAGTGCAAAGCTGATATTGAATATTGTTAGGAAATGTAAGAAAGATTGTACAAGATATAAGGGGGGGGAGTGAGTAATGGGGGGAAATTTACCATGAATAGAGCTGAGGGGATGTGCATTCTCCTAAGAGAAAAAAGGGAGTTATAGATAGTTGCTTCCTGTGAAAAGGCACACAGCAAAGTAAAAGTAATAAACAGAAACTTTTGAGCATCGTAGTAAGTCTATGTAATTAGTCTGAGATGTCTTGAGTCAAGACGAAACGTCGCTTGCTTTTTAAATAAATACTGAAAAATCAAATGCTGATGGCTTTCTCAAACACGATCTGTTGGGATCTTATCTTTATATTTAGAATTCGATTCACACCTAAAACCTCAATGGCAACATTGTAATTTTATAAATTCTTACTAATTGTTGTCCAGTCATATTTTCGATGTATTTGACATGTTTGACGTATTTTTTAGTTGCAACTGATTGTTGAAATTCATATTCCATTGGAATCCTACAGTGGCAGATACGGCCCTATGACCGCACGATTTGTCTCTGAATCGAGACAGTAAATATCAATATACTGTTCTTTCGAATTGCTAGAAATCCTACGGAGGTAATGGTTACCCCAAACGATTGGGAAAATTGAAAAACAACACAGTTAGAGAACGTTGCTAAATCGATCAGCGTACAAGGTTCGCAAAACCTTTGGTGGAAATAAGTAGTTTGACTTCCAATGATTTATCTAATGTCAAATTTTCACATGTTTGTAGATGTTGATCGTCCAGGTTAGTAGAGTCATGAGAAGGACTGTTTTGTTGTTGTTGACTGACGTTTTGACTTCCTTAGCAGTCGTCACCTTTAAAGTCAGGTTGACTTTCTCAGGACTTTACTAACCATGACGATCTACATCTAGAAACATGTAACGATACGTCCGGGTTTAAACCATTTACGTTTTACAGTTAAATTTTCGCAAATCATAATCATTGTTAGAGCGAAAATTTGTAACCGAGAAACTATTTTAAAATAGCTTGCGTCAAAATTGACACCAATAGATTGCATTTGGAATGCATAAGGTTAAAATATGGCATATGTTGTTCAAACTAATTAAGTTTTAGTAAATTTGGACGATTCCGTAATTATGACATTTTACATAAATCATCATGTATTTTTCTGTTTATAATGATTCAGGTTTTTTGGAAACTGAAATTTATACATAATTGAAGAGAGCTATAAAAAGGTATTCATAAACGAAAACAAAATAATCTGTGATTTGGAAGCTAATTGTTCGTGTACGCTTTTGCCAAATTCCTTAAAACTTCATTTTCTTGAACAAAGTGTGACATGTTTTATTCCTTTGTGTTTCAATTGCATTTAATTTTGTCATTTTGTGCGTGAGCTACTTCAAAAGCACTTCTCTGTAACACATTCCTCCCTCTAAAAAGGTTATTATTTGAAACAAATTTACTTAACTATCAGATGAACCATTGGAAGTCCAACTGCCTATTTCTACTTAAAATTTTTGCAAATATTGCGTGCTGATCAATTTAGCAAAGTATTTCGTCACTGACTATTTTTGTTACCCTCGCACATGCATCTCCAGTCACGGCCACGTGGTAAACGTTGATTTGTGAGGGAGGGTGTTGTTCATATATTCAATTGTGCCTGACTGATTTTTTAAAAGCGAGTTCTTTAATTTCTTAAAGTGCCTATGAAATGACAATGAACATTCTAAACCAGTTTATGCAGATCACTTTTAATTCTTGAGATATTGAGGTTTTGCTATGTCCGATATATCTAACTTGTGACGTCACATTGCATAATTAAAATTATTAGGTATATTTACTGATACTTTACTTCACAACGACAGAGTTCCTTTCATTGTGACGGGGTTAATGGTATAAAATGCTGCCTACTGGTATCAACCTGAAGTTGTCAGGAAACTGAAGAATATTTGAAACATTGTGGGAACATTATGCAGTATGACGTCACAAGTTAGATAAATTGGAAATAACAAAAACGTCAAAATCACGAGAATATGCATTTACTGTTTTAGAAAGTACACTGTAATTTCAAAGGTTCTAGTCATTGCAGACATAATTTAACTTGCAAAATTTTCGTTGCATTGGCACTTTCAGTAAATTGCTTTAAAAGAAATCTGGACGCAACTAAATATGTGAATAAGCCCCCCTCCCTCCTATAACTTTCTAGGACAGCCCTACTCACAGTTCACAGGGCCTGCCCTAAAGTGATCCATTTGACCTGTTCTCATTTTTCTTTAAGCTTGTTTACGATATATTCCACTATGACTTTCACGAGTCAATAGATTGGCTGTCTCTCACTACATACCGTTCTCGACTACATTTTCAAACAAATAAAAAACCTTTTTACTAATTTCTATAATTTCTGACAGAGGAATCCAATCAAGTTGATGATGCCAATTCACTCCAAGAAACAAATCAAGATGAACTAAATGGACTTGAATCAATAGACCTTGAGGTCAGCAATCTCTTTGAGGACAGCAGGCAGAATATGGACTGTCATCTTGATTTTATGTCGGTTCCTCCGGAACTTTGATGACTGTTATTTGTTATGGCATGTCGAAATACAATTTGTCTTTTTACAACCATTGAAATTGTTAATGATCATAAATATTACATCCATATGCAATTGTTTAGCAATCTCAATAATTGGGGAGAACGTATTCATACATGCTTGTGCTGCAGAATTAAATTCTTTTTGAAATCCATTGTTTTCTATAGATTAAGACATGCATTCATAATTTGTACCCTCCCACTTCCTCATCAACGAGTTTGCTTCGCCTCTGTTATGGAATAGACAGAGTAAATTAGAACATAAATAGAACATTTTTATCATTAGTCCATAGTAAAATGTAGACTTACTCAAGTAAGTTAATTAAGGTTCAAATATCGTCACGTCCAATATATTGCCAATATAATTAATAGGAAAGTACATACAGGTTAGAGATATTATGGGGAAAAACAACTTGATATTTTTTGTATCCAATAATATCTAGTCAAATAAGTAGAGGCACTCTATCTGTTGTAACCAAATAAGTTTTTTGTTGTCAATAAGTTATTGGAATTGTCAAGGTTGGCCGAGAAGTTCATTAATTATGAAAAAAGTAACAAATTCAATAACCATTGGGAATAATCAAGCATTGTAACCGTATCAAGCGTTGTATCTACAGTGTCTTTATTGATCATAAGTAATTATAATTGCGTGCAGTTGATGTTTGCCATGTATTCATAATTTTCAATGGTTTATTCAATAACAAAGGTTTTTTATAATATGAACTGATTTGTGCAAGAATATACATGTATAGAATTTTTGATTAATGAAGGGAAAAAATCCATTCACAGTTTTGAAAAGCGTGTCTTAATCATTGGTATTCAAATCCCGTCTTAGATGATTCGCTATTCCTGAGTTAAAACTTATGAAACTTTATAAGATTTAGCATTAGTCCTTTAAAATTTTACTAATCTCAATGTTCTTATGTACTCTGCATGAGGTTCTTATTTATGTATTTTCTTTTCTATAACAATTGTTTTTAGTCAGCGATGTATACTTAGTTATATAACTAGAATGTTCTACATAGATGTCATCAATGTTTTATTACACTGTTTGTTAAAGGAGGCTCTGACTCACTCTTCATTTTCGTTCGCTATTTAAATGTGTTTATGTAACAAAACTTACATGGATGAAAGATTGATGTAACAATAAGGTATGAATAATGTCACCATTTTTAAACTGATATGTGTGTGGTCGCGTTGTTTATATTAAATCTCTCATCCGTTTGTTGATTATGTGACATGTTAAGAACTAAAGCAGGCATAATTCTGTTCACACGGTCGTCTTACTTCTAAAACGATGGTAATTTCAGAAAAATTAAGCGATATTTTAGAACTACATTACCGACATAACAAATTAGCTAAAGCAGCATCTTGATAAAATATGACTAAACATGCATGAGCAATCATATCGAAAATGATATACCAATTTTCTAACTATTGACAATAAGCTGAATGGTAAAGGAAAGCAAAACCTGTTCAAAGATATGGGAGAGGTGAAATAGCATACTTGTCTATGGAAAAAATGGGAATCTCTGAAAATTTATGTAGGTGGTTAGCATGTCCAATCATGCATCACCTCCCTTTTATACCAACGCCACTTTTGACTAATCGCTGTGTGTCTAACAAAATGTTGTTAATTGTATTGAACAAACCATTCATTTTAAAAGTAAGAACATTTGTAAAATAAGCAAATGTTAAACATAGTTAGAATGTATTTACACAAAGAAAGAACGCAACCGAATCTATTTTTGTGAAATGTTGATTCATGCAACACTGTGAACTTCTAAAATTATACTTGTGATGATGTTTGTTTGACAGTTTAAAGGTTTACTTTCATTGCAACCTTTACTGTTGTATCTACAGTGTCTTCATTGATCATACGTAAATATAATTGCGTGCAGTTGATGTTTGCCTCGTATTCATAATTTACAATGGTTTATTCAATAACAAAGGTTCTTTATAATACGAACTGACTTGTGCAAGAATATACATGTATGCATATCTTGATTAATGAGGGGAAAAAATCCCTTCACAGTTTCGATAATCGTGTCTTAACCATTGGCATTCAAACCCGTCTTAGATAGGTGATTCTCTATTCCCGAGTTAAAACTTGTGAAACTTTATAAGATTTAGCATTAGTCCTTTGGAATTTGACTAATCTCAATGTTATTATGTACTCTGCATGAGATGTTTATATATGTATTTTTATTTCTGTAACAATTGTTTTTAGTCAGTGATGTATACTTAGTAATATAACTAGAATGTTCTACAGAGATGTCATTAATGTTTTATTAGACTATTTGTTGAAGGAGATCCGGATTCACTCTTCATTTTGTTCGCTATTTAAATGTGTTTATGTAACAAAACTTACATGGATAAAAGATTGATGTAACATTAAAGTATGAATTATGATTATGATTTTTAAACTGATATGTATGTAGTCATGTACTAATTCAATTTATTTCAGTAATTTTCAGTATAATGTGCTATATATATATGTAGCAGGACACTTAATTTAACAAAGATGAGCATTTATACACATTCAACTTTCACCCATACACATTCATCCTTCGCCATTACAAAACACACAGGTAATTTAAAATCAAGCATTTTATATTGAGAATTATACATTAAAATGATCTAACTGCTAACCAAGCAACAGGAACATTGTATTAAATGGGTAAACAAAACAATTTACAAAAGGAATGATATCTGAATCATGTGGGATATTCATGATGAATTATATACCAACACTGCCAATAAGTTTATTGACATGGTTAAGGCAATGACTATCACATAATTTTGTTAGCTGTTTACACTCGTCTGATAAGAAATAGGGGCATTGTTATGTGATTTGCTTTTACTAATAAATATACTAGCTTCATGTTTAGATATTTGACTCATTCATATTATGTTTTCATGCATACAACCTTTGTGCTTACTTTGTACATGCCATGATGACATTTAGAATTGCAAGAAAGGGACGATTAAATAACAATAAAGCCATCATAGTTGCTCGATCACAAAAATCAACTACTTTTCTTCTTTATTTTGTATACTTCGTGTTTTAATACAATAGAAAACAGTGAAAGATTTTACTGAGCTACATTTAGGTACATTTTGGTAGTATAATTATGATAAATTTGACCTCAGTTTAATGACACGTTTATTTACATCTTTTCAAACCTTTAAAGCTCATTTGGACAATGCTTTCTCGAATTAATTTAAGACTGTATACTTAATCAAAGAATTTATCTTTACTAACTTTAAAAGGTTAAGAAAATTGTAACTCGGACGTCACGTATTAATCTTTCTTAGCTCACACATATTAACGCAAGCGATCACAAATATCAATTTTATCCCCTCCTACGACCGGTACTAGCAACTTCCCGTCTGTCTGGTATATAGTCCAATTCGTGTTGAGATAAAACACGCATGTAGGGATAAAGCACGGATAAGGGGATTAAACGCGGATCTTTATAAAATTTTACTTCTTTTTATTTGGTTGTGTTCAGCAAAATTATCATGAAATTGTTCCATTTGCCAAATTGTAGGAAAGTAAAACCAAAATGTTTTAAAACATCAATCAAAAAATGCTTCGCAAAAGTTTATTTTACATGTGAATATAGTTAGCATATAAGCTCTCTGCCAAAGACCTTATCTATACATAGTTTTTCTGTCTGAAAAAGTGACCTTATGTCTAAAGTTGCAGGTTAAATGTAGCGGGTAAAATGAAGTAGAATTGCACTTTTAGAAGTAGATGCTCGTAGAAAAAGTTTATGTTGAATTCTCGGGGATTCTTTATTTCTGTATATGCACACTTGAATGTGCATTATGTTCTCTTGGAATCAACGTTCTCTGCTGTTAACACTAAAATATATTCTTAGCGCTGAAAATTCATGACTTGCGTTTGTTATGCACATAGGCCCGTTCACACAATCCGATTTGTCGTATCTGATTGTTTCGGTTCCGACTTTAATTTGGTTGATTGCTCAGAATGTCGGATAATTTTGTTGATATTTATGTTCGTTTAGATATTTATATTTGTGTTATCCAGAATATTTATCGATATATTTTTCGTATTTTATTCTAGTTTACTTGTCTTTTTCAAATCTATGTAATTTGACTAATCAGTTTTCTTTGATCTTGTTTGATGAAACTGGAACAAGCTCTATTTTCATACGATTTTGTAGATGGACGAATCAGACTCACTTTTTTGTGTTCACAGGATCCGTTTCTAAAATCCGAAAATTTGTCAGTAAATATGTAATAAACTAACAGTTCCACCGAATTTAATCGTTTTCATGTAACAAACAATAACATCGATTTCATTAAAGTTAAAATACATAAACGCTTCTTCTCTCTTGTCATTGTCAATATAATAAACATGCGAGTGAATTATATTAGTAAATATGAAACATGGCAGTACATTTTACACTCTTTGAACATACCTTATTGTTCATTTTGTATGAGTGTAAACATACAATACATTAAAGGAAAAAACACACTCCAAAAAACACCATCTTGTAAACTCAAGATTCGAGTTATAAAAGCAAGAGACAAAATTCAAAGCAATATTTCGACTTTAGTTCAAAGTCATTATCAAGCTAAGTCATTGTTTACAAGCATGCGTAATCTTAAATAGTTGTTACAAAGAAATGACGTAAGCAATGAAAGAAAGAAAGGCGATGAAAGGAGGTGTTACTGTCTAGAATTACATCAATGGAATTAAAATATAGCAAGTTCTTTAGAAGCCTTTGGTCCAGAAATTAGCACAGGCTTTTTGAGACGTATATATATCGCCTCAAGAAAAGGAGATGAGCTAGGCCCTTAATGTTGAAGTTAAACTTGCCTGAGGATCATTCTCTATGGCGTTGTGAAATACAATTTTGTTTCTATTGGAGAAGTACTTTGCTTTTTGAAGTTGTCAATAGTATAGAAATTTTCGATGAAGTCAGTTGACACTGGATCCGTCTAGTCACGAGCAGCTTTAGAAGTTATTGAACCGTATGAATTATTATTCGTGGAACTAAGGAATATGATTATAATTCAAACGTGATTGAAATATAGATGTAACTTATATACTGGTATAAAGCATTATCTCTAAACTAAAAAGATCACTATGAATGTGCGAGCTGTTTTCAGATTGAGCCATTAATAGCTGCAGAAAACTACATTTGGCAAACTAATTTCACAATTTGATCAACTGAAACTCAGAATTCAAGAACTTCGAATTGAGAGAGGTGATAAGGATGACAAAATCGAAAAATGGGTAAATGAAATCAACTTAGAGTTGGAAGGATTTGATTGTAAAAAATTGACAATCAATGTAAAGCAGACCAACGGAGCTAGGGAGGAAGAAGAATAAAAAGAACAAGAATTGCTAGAAGAAAAGAGAGCAACAAAACTACGTCATGACATACTCTAAGAGCAATTGAAGCGCGAAAAGTTGCAACAAAAACCACGGTTGAAATATGAGTTGAAAATGGAATCCTTGCGAAAAGACCATGAGAAAGCGAAGAACACCAGACCAAAGTTACCCAAGCACATGTGGTCACCAAATTTGATTGTACAGCAACAGATTAGATGCCATTTTGGAATCAATTTGAAGTTGACATTGATTAAGCGGATGTCCCTGCGGTGACAAAGTTGTCTCACTTGAAAAAAATACTCTCTCCCAAGCAGTGGCGGATCTAGGGTTAGTCAAAATAAATTACTGTCTCCCAAGCAGTGGTGGATGTAGGGTTAGTCAAAATAAATTACTGTCTCCAATGCAGTGGCGGATCTAGGGTTATTCAAAATAAATTACTGTCTCCAAGCAGTGGCGGATCTATGGTTAGTCAAAATAAATTACTGTCTCCCAAGCAGTGGTGGATGTAGGGCTAGTCAAAATAAATTACTTTCTCCAATGCAGTGGCGGATCTAGGGTTATTCAAAATAAATTACTGTCTCCATACAGTGGCGGATCTAGTGTTAGTCAAAATAAATTACTGTCTCCCAAGCAGTGGCGGATCTAGTGTTAGTCAAAATAAATTGGTGAAATTATATTCTTTAGAAGTTCTATACCAATAGTGCTTTTCTTAAAGTACTTTCAGTTTAAATTGAGCAGCTTTAATTTATTTCGCTCACTGCTACTGGCTATGACTACCTCTTGATCCCTGCTGGTCTTAAGATTAAATCGTGCATAGATGGTTTAGCCTTTTCTGTCAAAGGATATCATCAAACAAAGAACATCCTACAATCGAAGTTTAAAGATACCAGTGAAATAGTCAGCGCCTATATGTACAGAACATCATCGATTTACCTAACATGCAGGGAACACACTGCAGTAAGATCCGCGCATTTTATGATAAACTTTTTTTTAACGTTCAATCACTTGAAACTGTGGGAAAACTAAAAAAGGTAAACGGGTATGCTCGTATGTGCCTTAATAAATTAGAGGGAGTTCGGGGCAATTTAGTGCGCATGAATGATAATCATAAGCAATGGGATTTTATCCAACTTACTGACGCACATAGGAAATGGACGGAGAGAAATCCATCAAAATTCATGATAAACATGACTTTAAGAACATCATGCCGAGACATCCCCGATTTAGTGCATTGCAAACGTGCCAACACGAAGTTAAACAAAACGATGTGTTTATTGCAATGAAACCAACCATTCATCTGTCAATTGGTAAAGTTCCTACGTCAGCAGAACGTAAAAAATTTCTCAGCGCTGATCACATAAATATTTTATATACCCTAGATAGCGCATCTGCATAACAAAAATTGAAGCCAAAAGTTTTCTCCTTGAGAAAAGACCGTAGCCATATTGGTCGTTCTCACTCGTTTATGAAATACTATGATAAACGCTAAATTTTAGTACATTTGTGCATTGAAAATACAGTTTGGATGCGACTACTTTGAAATTGTTACAAGCTACTGGAAATTTTACAAGACAAACGCTGATTGGTGCTGTTTCTTTCGTTAAACCCCATTTTGAAGCCAATAATTTTGAATCAAAGTGCCATTTTAATTTGTACTGCCAGAACTAAAAATACTGAATGATTAATATCTGGTGAAAATAAACCACGCTGTATTGCCGATTTTCTCCACATCCACAATAGAAATTGTATTAAATAACACGCTTCGTGGGAACGACCATTATGGACGCCACTCGTAAGCTGCGACTGCGATCATTCTTGAATTTTTGCCTGTTGACAGGGTGGGATGCACTATCTAGTGTATATAAGATATCTATGGCTAATCGTCTTGCTTTAATTGCACTGAGGAGGGACATCAGGCTTTCGAGTGTTGTAGCAAATCCAACTTCGCTATTACAAGCAAAGGCATCATAATTCTAACTTCAAAAATTCCTGTGAAAACCAAGCTACCACCAGTTCAACGAATGATTGATTACTGAATACTAAATCTAATGAGTCCAAAGCAGTAGTTCATCACGTTGTTGTTGGTAAAGTGAATGGGTATAAATGTCGTGCTCTAATTGATACGGGGGCAGGAAGTCTTACGCCTCACCAAAACGTTCCTCGACATTTTTAAGCAGCAACTTAATAAGGGGTAAATCGGATCTGTTGAGATGACGTTTGGCACAACAACAAAATTGGTTGGAGTTTATCAGATAAAAATGACTGACGTAAAAGAGGAATTTCAAATTCAAACAGAAGTAACACGAGAAGCCAAAAGGGAATTTTTAATACTTGACAATCAAAAGTATGCAATATAAACTTCAGAGTACACGCATCTAAGTGGCATAAGCATGAATGATGATGACAAGAAAAGGAAAACTCCCCATACGATTATTCTTAGTAGCGGGGAATTACTCAAAAATTAAAATCACGTTAAAGCAGAACGTTGGATCCCCAGGTCAGCCTGTTGCAGAGCTCACAAAACTAAGATGGACAACCATGTCAACCGGAGAGGAGGCTAACCTTAATAAACTGCTTTTTACCCAAGTACCTCACGAAGAGTACGAGCGACTGTGTAGATTAGATTTTCTTGGACTTGAGGACTCTCGAACCAATGATCAGCAGAATGTGTACAGTGAGTTTAAAGAGCAGCTGCAGAGAAGTGAAGAAGGTTGCTATGAGACAGGATCACCCTGGAAGTAAAATCATCCACCGTTAACAAACAGTAAATGTGGTAATATTAGAAGTTTAAAAATTTGACTAAATATTATAAAAACAAAATATATCATGGAGCAGTATAACGAGATTATGCTGAAATAGTTGAAGAAAGGAATAGTAAAGGTAGAAAAAATGGAGGCTCAAGGTAAAGAGTTCTACTTGCTTGTAAACCAGTAGTTAAGCCGTCAGCAGAAACAACAGAGTTATGGATCGTGTATGACGGATCTGCGCGTGATGATGATAAAGCACCATCCATGAATGAATGTTTACAAGGCGGTTCACATCTGCAGAATCAATTGTGGAAGGTGATGTTGAGATGTTGCATTAACAGGTGACTTAAAGCAGGCATTCTCTAGGTACGTGCAAGGGCCAGGTGGCTGCCAAATCTTGTCTTTCTAAGAAGGACCTGACAATACCACGCTTAGAAATTATATCTGCACAAATGGCAACAAACCTTTTTTATAACGTCAAGAAGCGCTGGACGGAAACCCAATTGGCAATGTTTTCGCAAGGCTGAGTAGAACTGTAGCTCTCCATTGGAAACGGAATGGTGAAAGTGATGATCTAAAGCAATTCGTAGGGAATCTGGAGAGGAAGATACAGGAAAGAAACTACATCCAGTGGAGACACATTCTTGGACAAGATAATCCTGCAGACCTAGCGAGCAGAGGTGGTAAAGTGAGTAAAGGAAACGATCGGTGGTGAATGGATCCAAAGTGGTTGACAACGAAAGAAGTTTGGTTAGAGAATATCACAACTACAGCAACGGACGAAAGTCTGGCGAAACAAAACTTGTAACACAAATATTTAAAATTGCAACCCTGGCTGCTTCATGACAAGTTCGACAAATTGCTGAACAAATATGATCTCTAGAAAACCTTAAGACTTTGTTGATGAATCTCAAAATTTATCCAGAACAGTAGAAAATAAGGACAAAAGAAAAGTGGTCTATTGACTACAAAGAAAATTAACAATCGGAAAAATTGGTGGATAAAACGAGTCCAACGTAGGTATCAAAAAACCTAGCATAGGTTTTGAAAGGCCCAGCACAGATATTGAAAAACATTTGCTATGACAAACCCTTAAAACATTCTCGTTTTTCATATGCATTGTAAAAAGGTAGTAAAGTCATTCGTTATTATTGCGTCCTTTTTTTTTCGTGTTTTACTATTTACATATAAGATATTTTAATGAACCGTTTGGTGAAAGTGTTTGAGTTAACGGTTGGTTGTATTTTGTTTTGAGAGTTACCCAAAGTATAAGACCTTAACCATACATACGTGGAAGTCACGCGAGATCGCGCGCGTAACACAATTGCACATAAATAAGGAAGCTGCAGCCTGCTGTGAGAAATGTTTAAAATTCTTTATGTTATCAAATACATCCACGTCAACGTAAGTTGGAGATATTTTTCTGGCGATATATGATCATGATATCAAGAATTACTCCTTCCATCTAATAAAACGGTAAGATAAAGATTTTGCATCCTTAGATGGCGACTCAAATTAATTTTAATTTACTTATCTATCTAAGTAGAACAAAGACAGTTTTTCATTTAAGTAAGACTTTGACTAATGTAGGTATGATTCGACCTTAAAACTAGTTTCCTTTGTTAATCTTGATAAGCATTTGAACATGCTTATTGTCAAACCATAAAATACAACAAATATAAACGAGATATTCAAGTTAGGTTTCAAACATTGTATAGGAAATGAATATAAGTGAAACGGAACTTTGAATCACTGTGTTTAGCATGATTTGTTCTTGTTCGAAAGTTATTTTTGTCATTGTTTAATCTTAAAATGATTGTTGTAGAGGTTTTTCATCACTTAGTTATGTACATCAACATATTTTGAACTTTTGATATGATAAAACTTGTTTGTTGATATCTGTTGATTTGCTACTAAAATAACATACTAAAGTCAATATTTTATATGCGTTCTTCATCTTTTATAACTGATCAATGATTGTGGACGATGTGTGGTTGCTAAATATATTTTTGTTACAAGATTTATCTATTTACTTGGATTCATTCAAGTACAGGAATATCAATAATTGTGGCTGGGGACTCATATTAATTTATGTACATGATATGTTTTTATTCTTCAGTTGCTAGCTATTTCATGTAGTTTGTGTTGTAAAAGTTTTATTAAATATTTATTATATCTTCTATATACTAACCTAAAGAGGTTTTACAAAACACTGCTGGGGTTCAGTGCAAAGGCTCCTTAAATAATGGGCATACTTATTTACATTTACGTATATTTAAATTTCGTAATGAATTCTGTTCATTCACCCTAACAACAAAAAATACCTAAACATATATGTAGCTAAATTTAATATAACTGTCCTTAACTAACTCAAGGTAATAGAATGACTTTAATAAATGTTAGTTGATTCGTTCTGTTTTATTTTATTTTAATCATAAGTTAATCGATCTGGTGCTCTTCTTCTTTCCGAACGTCGTAATTGCGACGACTGCTGTTCAACACTCTCATCATATGAATTTGTTCCTCTCACTTCTTCCGTTGGCGTAGATATCTCTATCTTTGCGTCTTCTGTGGGACGTATTGTAGTGTCTTGAACTTCTATTGAAGGGGCAGAAGTTGTTGTACCGTCTTGAAATCCTAAGTCTCCTTGAGGTGCTAAGTATTTTGTTGATACGGTATCCTCTCTTCCATCAGCGTGTCGAATGTAAGCATATTGAGGGTTTGCTTGTATTAGATGTACTTCGTCCAATAATGGTTCAAACTTTGAATTTCGCGCTTGACGTTTTAATAGAACCTTTCCTGGTGTAGCTAACCATGAAGGGACCGACACCCCGCTCGTTGACTTACGTTGAAAAGAAAGTAATCGCTCATGAGGAGTAGCGTTTGTAGCCGTACATAACAAGGACCTAATCGAATGGAGTGCATCCAGCATCACCTCTTGCCAGTGGCATACCAAAAACTGAGAATAATTCTGAAAGACAAGCAACAATAGTCCGAGCGCTAACATCTTCACATGGTAACGCAAATGGGAATCTAGAATACTCATCTATGATAGTCAATATATATCGTTTCTTGTCCGTACTAGGCAGCGGACCTTTAAAATCTAGGTTCAGTCTTTCAAACGGCTGTGTTGCTTTTATCAGATGTGACTGTGCAGGTCGATAGTATTGGGGTTTACATTCTCGGCAGTCTTTACATGATTCGGTCATGCGCTTAATTTCTTCTATCGAAAATGGTAAATTTCGGCTTTTTACAAAGTGACTCATGCGAGATACTCCAGGATGACACAGTGCTTTATGAAGTTCGAAAAGTTTATCCAGTGTAAGCGACATAACCTTCACTCTCGATAAGGTATCCGCTGGTATATTTTCTTCTCCTGTTCTATATATTATGTCAAAATCATACGTAGAAAGTTCCAATCTCCACCGCATTATTTTATCGTTCTTAATCTTACCATGACGTTTCAAATTGAACATATAAGCTACTGACCTCTGATCCGTTACTAGTTTGAAATGTTTACCTGTTAGATAATGTTTCCACCTACGAACGGCCTCCACGATAGCAGCTGCTTCCTTTTCTACTGACGAGTGTTTTAGTTCTGAACCATTTAGTGCTCTTGAGAAGAATGCTACTGGTCGTCTTTGTTGATTTAATGTCGCTGAAAGTGCAAATTCTGATGCATCGGTCTCTATTTGGAAAGGATAAGATTCATCAATTGATCCTACTACAGCATTCTCAATATCATTTTTCAGTAAATCAAACGCTTGCAACGCATCATTTGATAATGGAAAAGCTAAATTGTGAGACAAAGGTCTAATTTTAGTTGAAAAATCTTTAATCCATTGGGAGTAATATGAAAACAAACCGATGACACGCCTTTGAGCTTTTGCATCACGTGGGGCTGGCAGCTCCCGCAAAGGTTTTAGTCTCTCCGGATCCGGCTTAATCTCCCCTTGAGATACAACACTTCCGAGTATACTAATTGAAGTTACCGAAAAAACGCACTTGTTTTCATTAAATGTTAGGTTACGTTTCCTCGCTGCTTTCATAAAAAGTTCCAAATTTTTATCATGATGCTCCTGATTGTAACCGCATATAGTAATATTGTCTAAATACGCGAAAGTATCTTCTAAAGCCTCTTCGGATATGAAAGTATCCATTGATCGTTGAAAGGCCGCCGCTCCATTAGTTACACCAAATGGGATTTTACGGAACTGATAAAGTCGATGGTTAGCTTCAAAAGCCGTATACTTTCTCTCTTTATTTTTGATAGGTACTTGATGGTATGCACTTTTAAGATCTACAGTGCTAAAGACACTATATTGGGCAACTGCGTTTACTGTATCATCTATTCTTGGCATCGGATAAGCGTCCAACTGAGTAAACTTATTAATTGTTTCAGAGTAATCGATTACTAGTCTTTTCTTTTGTCTTTCGTTCTTGGTTACAACGACTTGGGCTCTCCAGGGAGAGTCACTTTCTTCAATAACCCCTTCTTCAAGCAATTTCGACACTTCCGTTGCGATGAACGCTCTGTCTTCGGCACTGTATCTTCCTGATTTTGCAGCTACCGGTCTACAATCTTCAGACAAAAATTGAAACAACGGCGGTGGCCCTATATTTCTAGTTGATAAACCATATATCGTTAAAGAGGGCGATTTTCCCCCATACTCAATAATTATGCTTTCATGTTTTTCCTGCCAATTTTGTCCTAATATCACGTTCGTACATAAATTTGTTAAGACAAACAGTTTTACTTTCGCATACTCTCGCTCTTTAAGTATAATATCTGCAAGACAATAGCCTTGAATTTTAGAAGAAAACGAGGATGCAGCCATTGTTACTTTCTCTTGAGTTGTATAAACGTTCAATCTCAGATTACTTGCTTTAGGATGTATAAAATTATGTGTACTTCCCGAATCAATTAGAGCTTCGCAAGATTTTCCATTAATCAAGACATCAATACAGGCTTTCTTTAGTGACTTTGCTACTGTATGTTTAGTTGATGCTAATGCTATATACGAAGCCTGAGGAGCGACCGATTTACATACTCTTTGGAAATGTCCTTTCTTTTTACATTAATAACAATAGGCTTCTTTAGCTGGGCATGCGGAACGATGGTGTGGTCGATTACCGCAGAAGAAACATTTCGCTGATCTAGAAGAGGCGGCAACGTACCTTTCTATGCCGTTGTTCTCTTGATGTCCGTCAGATTGATCAGTTTTATCTTGGTTTTCGAATGCCCGTTGATTAATAAACGAATTCTCCCCGTCCTTGTTTGATAGAGCAGCAGCTGTTATTGGAATTCCGTCTGCATAAGTTTCAGAAGTTCTCTGTGCTGTATCTAAGGCTCGGGCTTGATCAAAAGCTGTCTGAAGGTCTAATGTTTTATTCTCAAGAAGACGTTGGCGGATGTTAGTTGAACGAAGACCTGCTATAAACGCGTCTCGTACAGCTTCGTCTCGATATTGATTTGATGTCACGCTACGAAAATTACAATCTTTGCTTAGCAATTTTAATTCTTGCAAATACTCATCCAGGCTCTCGCCAGATTGTTGTTTACGAGTAGCTAACTTATGTCGCGAAAATATCTCATTAGGAACCTTAACATAGAGATTTTTTAACAATTCTATAGCTTCCTCGTAGGTTGTCGCTTCACAGAAAAGTTTGATAAACGTCGGCAGAAACATAATTGACTAGAGCCTTTAATTTGTTCACTTCTTCGTTAGGTATAGCAACTACAAAGTTTTGGAAAGTAGCAAACCAGTGCAACCACGATCTAGCAGCGTCTTGAGCGTTAGGGTTGGTGTCAAAACGTTGTGGTCTTAAAACTTTCTCCATCACAGCATAAGATGCGGAAGACACTTGTTAGGATTGACTAATGAGAGCACCAAGATTCTGAGTGTTCTGTAAATTGTTGTAAAAGCTTTATTAAATATTTATTATATCTAGTATATACTAACCTAAAGAGGTTTTACACAACACTGCTGGGGTTCAATGCAAAGGCTCCTTAAATAATGGGCATACTTATTTACATTTACGTATATTTAAATTTCGTAATGAATTCTGTTCAGTTTGCCTGATTTTTTTTAGAATAATAATCTAATAATAATGAAAAATGGTTTTGGTCATAGGCGTACAAATTCTAACATGTTTTACACAATTTTGGGTCAACTCTCATAAAAATTATGCCAGACCAATTTTTTATTGAATTTCTTATTACAATGTTTTGTTGACCATTTTTATTGCTTTCATCACTTTTGTTGACTTCTTGACACACTTCGTTTTTTATTAAGAAAAACTGTGGCAGGACTGTAGGATGATTGTTAATTTGGAGATCATATTATGTATGCATAATATAGGCTACATGTGTTAAGTTTCTTTGAAAAACATTGTTGTTTTGGGGGTCATTACATCCAAATGTTTATGTCACCCCAACCACAGTATAGAGAATATACAAAAAGACCACTTTCTGTGAAACTTACTGCTGTATATATAATTATATTACTGTGTGTAGTCTGCCAGCTCAGAGCACCTATTGGTCAAAAAATGGTAGTGTCTGACTGCCACTAAGGTAATCACTTGCAAAATAAGATATGCATGGCACAAAAATATTCAATGCAATCTACTGTATGTTCTCTATAAAATCATACTATATGTTCCTATGACTGTGCCTCAATTACATTATGTTTTCCTTAGGTCCTAAGTCGTGAATGAAGTATTAGTCAAAATAAATTACACCTGCTCATTTTTTTTTTATCACAAAACCTTTTAAACCATGATAATGATTATGAATTTTTAAAGAATAAAATTTTCAGTGGTGTAGCCAGAGTGATAAAATGTTTGGTCCTTCTATGTACATTTTTATATTTTTATATTTTTATTACCTTCCATGAAAATTTTTTTATCAATATCAATTCTCTAGATGATTTTAATCCTCGTTGAGGAAAAAGTTTTGAATTTGGTTAAATCGTTTGATTTTTTAAAAGCGTTAAATTCAATAAAATCGTATATTCTTGTGAACGATGTCCGTGATAATGAGGAGTCTGAAACTAGCTAATTTTCTGACGTCATCCAAGGTAGTAGTTTGCTTGTATTTTGTTCGGTATTTTATTCGTATATCATGTTGTTTAGCTCTCACCCTGTGTTCTGTTTTTTGGTGAGGAAAATGTAAAGTAGACAGGATATAGTTTTCTTTATATTTATTTTAATTAGTAATGACGACGATTTGGATTTAACAGATCGTCAAAAATGACGAAGAATTGAAATATATTATGTCCCTATGAAAAATAACTACATTAGCAATGATATATGTACCATGTGCAATGCCTCCTCATTTTAACAATAAACATAAAAATTTAAATTGCAACAGAATCATCGGCAACATAGTCCTATTAATAAGCAAAAATTCGTACAACACAACAAACCGATTTAATATATCTTTTTTGCCAGCTTCTTTTGCACAATATTAGCACGTGAACACCAGCACACATAACATGCACTGAGCGTAGGAGAGCAATAAAAAGGAGGCATAATTATAATTATTGGGCATTTTTATTAAACATGGAGCAAGAGAAAGTTTTGTACCGAAGAGAAATGCAAAAGGCAGGAATGATTTCATTTTGTGGCATTTTGACATGAAAATATTTTTTGTTATTTCTCACATGGTATGACCTTGGGACTTTACCTTGGAAATGGCCTTGGGACCTCACTTAATTTAATGAAAAATACAACACTAAGCAGTTGGACTACTGACTACTGTTTGTTCCATGTACTGTAACTCTGAACAAGGCTACCTACATGTACACACACGTACCTATTTTTTTTATGTACCTTGTACATCTGGAGACGGTTGCACGAAGCCTGGATAGCATTATTCGTCGGATAGTAAAATTTTCAAACATTAGAAAAAGGTGTTTATATTTTCCTTAGGGGTAAGAAATTTTTGTAATCGTAGAAGCAATATTTTATTTCAGTGAATGCTCAGTTCAAATCACGTATTATTCCCTTTAAAGAGATTTTGTAAAAGTTCAAAACAATTTGCAATCTAATGGATAAAACTAATCTGCCTTTATGTAACCGGCCGCAGGTTTTCGATTATAATCACAATGAATTTGTATCATTAAAGTTTGACCTACTTTTTTTCAGCAAACATTGACATGGGGTCTGTCTTGAGCTCTAAAAAGAAAACTAATGGTTTGAAGTTGATGAGATTAATTGTTGATGTTGGTGGAGAAGCTTTAAGAATAACATTGAGGAAACAACTCTCAGGTACTGATTTATTTAATGTTTTAAATAAGACAGAAAATTATAATAAGCTTTTATTGCTAAAAGATAAGCAAATAAAGCAACATCAATGGGATCTACTGTATCCTCCTCCTCCAATATTACCAAATGAAAATAAGTTTGACATTACTTTACTTTGTATTCTCCTGCGTAATATTTGTGGTTTAAAATCACCTCGTGATCGAATATGGACGTCAGTAAATGACCCCACTGATTATTCAACTGAAGCAGATATTACCCGTATCAGGTTATTTCGTAATGATCGTTTTGCACACTTACCTAACACTTCAGTAAGCTCTAATGACTTTCAAAATTTTTGGGTAGAAATAAGCGAACCATTAGTTCGTTTAGGAATAAGTCAGGAAGAAATAGATAGATTGAAAAATGAGTTGTTTGGTAATGAAGAATGCCAAAAAATTTTGAGAGAATGGGATATGTTAAAGAGCGATTTAACTGATATTAAAACTAATCAGAAAGGTATTAAGAAAACAGTGGAAGGTGTCAAGAAAGAATTGCAACAGGTAAAAGATAGTGTCGCAGTAGTTAAAGACGAAGTACATGAAATACGACATCACCCTCACTTAGGTCCAGAAGAAGATATTTTGACAAAAAACCTTGTTAGCTGTAACTTTGAAAGCGACATTAAACATCATTATGAAAAATTTTTAGAGGGAACACGGGAATGGGTTTTTGATGAGTTTTTAGCTTGGTTCGAAGACGACAGTTCTCAAAATCGTGCATTTGTTATTTCTGCTGTTCCTGGTATGGGTAAGTCTGTAATTGCAGCTACTTTATGTAAACGTTTTCCTCGATATTTGACTGCAGTTCATTTCTTTCAACACAACAACAGTCGTTACAATAAAGCCAATGTACTTCTTCAATCTTTAGCGATGCAAATTAGTCGTAATTTTCCTGCATACAAAGAACTTCTTGAGAAAAAACTTTCAGGTAAACTCTCAGAGCCTTTGAATGACATGAATGTTGAAGGACTATTTTCCCTTCTTTTTACTGAGTTGTTTTGTGAAATCTCAGAAGTTCCCAAGCCGATGTTAGTTGTACTTGACGCCCTTGATGAATGTGGTTATCCAGAAAGAGATGACCTTGCTAATTTGATTGCTAATCACTTACACAAACTTCCGCCTTGTTTTCGCTTTGTAATTACAACAAGACCTAACGAAGCTGCTTTAAATAAGTTCGAAAAATTAAATCCATTGTTCATTACTTGTAGCGATTATCGCAATTTAAAGGATATTAAATTATTGATTAAAGAAAGAATAGGCTCTACTGACAGCCTTTCTGATTTTAAAAATATTTTGGCAAAAAAAGCTGACGGACTTATGTTGTTTGCATCGCTTCTTACCAGTGAAGTCAAAAATCAGGGTTTGTTGAATGTGTCCATACCAAAAGATCTCAATGAATATTACGAAATTTCCTTAACAAGATTAAGTAAAGAATTAGATTCGTTTCATATCAGTAACGAAAAGTTTCAGTCAATTTTAAATGCTCTGGCTGTTGCTAAAGAACCTCTTCCTTGGAAAATGATTGATGACGTTCTTTGTTTGAATTCGAGTCGCGAATCACTTGGGGTTAGAAAAATTATCTCTTGTCTGATTGTTAGCAATGGAGAAGGATGTGTTTCGTTTTTTCACAAATCCTTAAATGATTGGTTGTTGGATGATCGAGAACATGATTATTCAGTAAAAACTTCTTGTGGTCATCGACTTGTTTTAGAAGTTTGTTTAAAATCTTTGGATAACCTCAAAGCTGAAGGTGTAAACTATGACGTCATTAAACATGTGACAGTGAGGTATTCAGTCAAGTATTGGTTGCTTCATTTACTTAATATTTCTGATAATGATTATATCGTTGAAAATGTTGGTAAATATCTTCTCGACTTGGAAGTTTTAGTTGCTTCTGTGCTGGTTGATGGTCGTCGGACTGTTGAAAATTTTTCTTTATTCAACGCACATGATGTGTACTTTCTTATTTCTGAGGATATTCGATTGTTATTTAATGAAGTGTATTCTGTAATGACGTACTCTATGTTCTCTGACAATGAGTTATTTTTTTTGCGACAAGTTGCCAACGTAGTCAAAGATTTGTCGTCTCAAGCCACCATAATGCTTCAAACACGTGTGAAAAACAGCTATTTTAGTGAGCTCAACGACACTGGATTTGTGAAGGCTCGGTTATTACGTTTAAATAAACGTTTGTTTTGTGTTGATGTTTCACAAAATCATGATTATGTCATCTGTGGTTATGAAGGATGCACCGTGCAACTTTTTTCATTGAAAACAAACAGATGCTTATGGATAAAAAATATTGCTGGTCAGCTTAAACAATATACAGCGGAAAAAATTTGCGTTGTCTTTCATCCATTCATTGATTTGATTTTTGCTTCCCAGCTTGATACGGTACTAGATGTTAACGGTAAAATATCTTCCAGTCCCTTCCATTGTGATGATTCTACTTCCAAGTTCTTTACCAACAAATGTTTTTCCAGGGATAAGTACACAATGGTCACATATTTCAAAGGTACTTTGACTGTATGGGACGTTATGAAAGGTGAGAAGAAACGCAGTATTAGTTGTAGTAGAGTGATCTCACTGTGTTTTTCTATTTCTGGAAGATATTTGTGTGTTATTAGTTGCAAAGCCGGCGTTGTAATTTATAATGTAGTGAATAACTATGAAAGTCTTGCTTTTAACGACGAAAATATACCTGTTGGTAAGATAAAGATCAAATTTCCTGTTGGTTTTCATTCTTGGTGCGCTTTGCATAGCAGGGGCTATAAAGAGAATAGTGCACTATTCTTTGTAAATCCCACTCATGAAACACTTCCAGGTTTAGATCTTAATAGCAAACGCTTTTATCCACTTGATCCATTTGATGACTACATATCAAGGTTTTATTGTAATGGTTTTCTACTCTATTATCATTATTATTTATTGACTGACGACACTGTTCTTTTATTCCATTTCGGACCTACTTTTTATATTTTTTTAATACCTTGTGAATTTTTAACAAAAACTTTCCCTATTGATGAAGAAGCACATTGCCTGATTGATTATTATGTGTCACAAATAGATAGACCAATGAGATGGGATGATCCATTAAACACGGCTAACATTAGTAAAAAGTTTATCCGCAATAATTGGGGGGCATATATTAAAATTCATAATTTGCTTAAACTAGGACGCACAAATAATTTTTTATGAGGCAACTGGCGTACCGATTTCTTATAACAAAATTCTAAACTTGGGAATTCCCCATTCTATTTTCAAATGTTTAAAATTATTCTTGTATTCCTTTCGCGTATAACGAAGGGAAAATTTTGTGTGTGGCTACAATGGTTACTCTTATTGGATTTATTAAAAACTTAAAAAAATGGAGAACATTTGTTATTCACCAACGAAAACATAAACTAGCTAAATTTCTTTACCCACTGAAAGAAGTATACATATTTGAAAAAATGTAACTTAGACTGTGGTTTTGAAGATGTTGCTATCACTCTATTTCCTTCTTTTTGGACTTACGAAGATTTATTTTTGTGGTAGCTAAAGGAGTTTTAGCACGCTTTCGCTTTGAACAGTTTTAACTTTCTCATTGCATTATATTAAATATCGAGTATTTTAATCCTAACCACGTGAGTTCATTCACGCCAAAAACATGGCGGCATAAAAATGTAAACAAGGCGATTTTTATTAGGTGATAAACAAAAAGCAGTGAAAATTTAGACGATACAGAGAGCATCATAATTCATTTTCTTCAGTGGCGTAGCCAGCCTGCAAGTTTTTTCATGCTATTTAACTTTTTCTATGTTCACTTGCTGTAAAAACAATACAAATCTATAGAAATGAATGAAAATCATGATCTGAAATTTACATAGCACGACCAAATTTTCTGGCTGGCTATACGCTACTGATTTTGTTTTAATACTTTTGTTTTTACAGTGATTGAAAACAAAAAAAACTTACAAAGAACGACTAAATTAAGCAGGCTTGCTATACTAGTGTAGACAGAACTCATTGGAGAGCATTGCTAAGAAAACTTTCAAAGATTGTCAAGAGGAAAAAAATAAAATAAACAAAAACAAAAACAAACAGCTTTATAAACCCACCATTCTTTTTCCAATGCCCAAACTTGTAGCTGACAAAATTGATTTTTAAATTATTAACAGAGTTTTTATACTCTAGTGAAAACGTCTTGGAACAAACTTATAAAAGCGGAAATTTGTACTCTACAGCGGACGTCGTGACGATGTTAAGCACAACGTTAGGCAAAGACGTTCCACGGTTTATACTTTATGAGAGATATTTGGCGGAATGTACCTAGCTAATAGCTATATCTTCAAGGTTAAATCCACGTTTTAAAGTAATTCTGTACTGGCACATAATGAATAATATTTGACATATTATTGAGCAACGTTCTTGCAACTTTTTTACACGTTGTTGCGACGTTCGTATACATTTATTTTTATAGTATTTATTCAATTGAAGCGATATATTTTGATATCTTGCAATCTGATTGGCTGCAGCAGCTGGCAGCTTTTTACGATACTTTGACCGTTGTCCAAAAGTGATATTTTTTCGAAATGTGTTAATGTGAAAATTTGTTTACAAACTGAAAGTTGAATTTAATTTTTTTTTAAAGCCATGTAAATTCTTCAAGGAATAAACAGAATGTATTCAGACAGTAGTTATAACGAGAGCTAAATTGTCACTTGGTAATGACTTTTAAATAAAGTCGAAATATTGCTAAATCCTGTCTCTTGCTATTGTGTAATTCAAATCTTGAGTTACAAGACGATGTTTTTGAAGTGTGTTTTCTCATTTATTTTTTCAAATTGTCTGCTGGAAAACGTTTTTCCTTTTCTCAAAGTATGTATTTACAATTTCCTGATGATTCACACTTGCTGTTTCCTAATTAATGGTTTGATGTCATCAGTAGATTAGCCAGCCCGTTTTTTACTCCCGCTATGCAAATATTTTGTGTTCACTGACCGTGAGAAAAATAGATTTCTAAAGAAATGAATAATGGCAATCCTTCAAAATTTCCATGGCGGGAGTAAATCTTCAGATTGGCTACGCTACTGGATGTCTCCTTTGCACAAAACAACTCCTTTCCTGAACAAATTGTATATAAATAGATGTAAATAATTTTAGGTAGTGATTGCTGGCAAAATTTTGCATGTGTATTCAATAACGTGTTAAAAGATACAGTTGCCAGAGTGTTATCGAGCCCAGCAACTATAAAACTTGGTGGAGTTTCCTCTTGCTGAGAGAGTGAAGAAAAAAATTGTAGACTACACATATAAAGACTTTATGACTGATTTTTGTCATCGTCATTTCCAAAGTAACCATTGTATTTGAACGGGCCAAACTGACTTGTTGTTTAACAGAAAAAGTAAACAAAACTTATGAAGATTTTGCAAGTAGAACGACGGATAATTAGTGAAGATTTCCAAAGACACATTTATGACTTTTAATAAACACAGCGATACCAAGATTGATGATATGACAATATGTGACTTTTGATTCGATATTTCGTGTGTGTCGTTTCTCTGAAAAAAGCATCCTCAATACTTGTTGATCAACGAACATACTGCAAGTAACACAACTTGAAGTTGTTATTCATTTATGGCTTTACCAAAAACCTCCATTGTCCAATTTAAAATAATACGAGGAGAAACGTCAATACTTCACAAGTAAAAAGTTACTCTTAAAACTATTAAACATCCACCTGGATTCCATGTGGGATTGTTGTTGTTTTTTTGCTGTGTCATGGTGTCACTGGCCTGCGGTCAAAGTTGGAAAATATCGCAGTAGACTTTTATTCAATTTTTTCTCATGCAAAACTATTATCTTTATGTGGATATTTTGATGGTGCCTTGGAATACGATAACGTTACTGGATAAGTGATCGCAGAGCAACAATAGAAATAAGATTTCGTGAAAAATCTGGCTAATGAACTTCTTCAAAGGTAATTTTGTTTTAACTTCAACAACTCAAGAAGCTTCTTGGTATAAAAACATTACCAGTGTAAAAAAATGTGTCTCAGTCACCTTTGCGTGGGTTCCAAATATATATTTGAATCGTATAATCAGATCTTATTGTTTCGTGAAAAGTTGAGACAAATTTATGGCAACAATTTTTGCGAAGTAAAAGCTGTTATAGACTTATCATCTAGTTTATATGAGTGGTCCAATAATCAGTTGCAGCAAAAGTCACTTATATATATAGGAGCAACTTCAAGTAACATAAATAAGTTTTTGAACATCAGAATGTCTTCCTTTTTCTAAATTTACTTTTTCTTTTTTATACATTTTTTACATTTTTATTTAAAATTATCTTTCATATTGTTGTGTGCATAGCTACGTATAGTGAATAGTTTAGTTGTAATTACATATTATCTATTATATTTCTTTACTCAAACAACAATAGCATTGTGATGAATTTTTTATGAATTACAATTTTTGTCTATATGCTCTCTGTTTGCTTTTCAAAAAAAGTATTGAGACACTTTATGAGCAAGCTAGCGTTAGCATGGTTTAGTATCTGTCGCACAACCTGAGCGCGCTCTTTTGTGCAGGTGCTGGATTGCGATGCAAGATATATTGGGACTGTATTTTAATTCTGATATAATTTGACAACAATACGATCTTTACAATTTCGCGACTTTTGACGACAAACGTTTTTTTCGTTACCAAGTGAATTAAAATAAATTGTTTTAATCCTTGAAATTAGATATATTTTTTTAGCCGCAAAGTTACAACTCTGCGTAAACTGCAACATTGCTCAATGCGTAAAATGTGAACAAATAACAACAATGCGTTTATCAAATGAGTGTCGAAACAAAATTTGCGGAGCCTCTATGAAACAAGAGTTTGGTCTATAGCCGTGCTTGCAATAGCCAGTGCAAAACAAATCTGAACTCAACAAATCCTAACGATCCCCACAAAGAGAATCAAATCCCTCATGAATACATTTTACAGGAAAAATGAAAACGTTTACTGAAATGAAGACGTTTAAAAGATGTTTTTCGTGTTTGCCCTGTCTTTTGCAAACCTCGATGACGTTTGTGAGAATTCTCGAGCAGGTGCAACCTTCGACCTTTGGTCTAGGGCAGGGGTCTCCAAACTTTACAGCCAGAGGGCCACATGAACTTTCATCCAGCATGTTGAGGGCCGAAGAATATAAAAAATTTCCACGTTATCCTTCAGCTTTTTAAATTTCGCAATGTGCTTGAAACAGAAGTAGGAAGTTGGGACAAAAATTGACGTAATCCACTCTTGCAAGTTGGCTTGCATCATAACGTGAACTTTCTGCACAAAGTTTATTTTGTTTATATTATTTTTCTTCCTTAAGTGCCTCTGCGGGCAGGATTGAGAGGCCCGACGGGCCGCATCTGGCCCGCGGGCCGTAGTTTGGACACCCCTGGTCTAGGGCTTTCACTGATCTGCTCTCTAGCTCTCTTAAAGGTCTTTTCGGTTTGCATAAGCCGTGAAAACACAGTAAGCATCTTTTATTTCTTACATAAAAAAACATACATTAAAAAACGTGTGCACTGATTGGGTTACAGATGTGTTTGAATTAGCCTGTGAAAACCGAAGGGAGCTTAACCAATCAAATCAATCTGATTTCGAGTTCTTCCAAACGTGTCTTGGA